CATAAAAATATTGACGATTACAGCTTTAAGTAAAGCTTTGAATGCTTTACTTGTCACAGTATTTTTACACTGTGGTATTATTACTAAAAGTAAACTATCTGACTATGTCTTCCACCACTGATTTTTCCATTAGTAAACATATTCACTGAGACGGATTAAAAATACTGCAATATTATTTATTCATGATGCCAGATGTGAATAGGTTTGGAATTACATCCATTATGATTACACCATTATGAAGAAATACCTTAAATGACAGTTAATGTAATAATGTGGCGATGTGATTGCATTTTCTCACCATCCAGAGGAGAATTTTATTGCATTCTGGCACATTATTACGCTATCCAGCAGGTATCACTTAATAGCTTGTTACAGAGAGTAAGAAAGAGTGACAGCGGATGAGATACTTATTAAGACAGAGAGGGGGGATACCAAGTTTCAGACAAGACTAAATAAACTCTGGCAGGCTCAAATTTCACTCTCCAATACTGCTGGAGAACTTTTCTCCAGCCAGAGAAGTTTGTCGGGGAAATAAACAAACCCCACACAGAGTCAGCCGTTCCCTCGGGCATTATTAATAATGAGGTTATTAATACAGGATTTTTTGAATAAAGAATCCTCATGGAAGCAGCGATGAGGCTGCAGAAGCAAACGATAGATAAGGTTTGCTTTCAGAGAGCTTTCTGTAGTGGACACCCACTTTTATGGGGAATATGAGATTCCCCCTGTGCAAACTTTTTTTGTCATGACCTCCAATAATGTGTGCTTCCCTTCTATGAAAAGACAAAATACACTGCTGTGGGCCGTGTTCAGGCATAAAAGATGATGGATAGCTGCACTGCGGGGCTGCTGGTGTGAGAATGCTGCATAAAAGAAACTGCAGAAAAAGCACTTCAGAAAACCTAAAAGGGGTTACTGCCCTGCAAAACAAAACTGTGTTGTAGTTTTTAGCATAAAACGCTGACAGTGAAGGTCAAACATAAGAGAGGAGTAAGATAATTAGTGTCCCCAGTAGACAGCGCAGTCAAATTAACAATGATAGTCAACAAATGTACTGTTCTTTTTCTGTATGCATCAAACATCTGTTGTTCACAAAGAAGTATTTATTTTGATTTGTCCAAGCAGACGGGAAATCAAACCATTAATTCCGCTCAAGCGATGGCACTGACTCTGAGTGTGTGTTGGCACATGTGCAAGAGTGCTGTCAAATCAGTTGCCTCATGCCAAATAAATAGACTCAGGGCGTTTTCTCTTCAACATTTCTCTTTGACTTAGACTGAACTGAAAATGGCAACAATTTTCATGTTTTTAGCTGCGCTAACAGCGGGGCCCCAGGGATCGCAGTGTCGGCTGGTCAAGAGTCAGACTGAAATATCTCAACAATTATGAGATGGATTGCTGTGAAATGTACATCTATTTAAAGTCAGGAGATACTGAATCCTAGTGAACTTTGTCATCCCTTCACCTCACACCTAGCATCATCATCAGACCAAAGTTTCACAATATGCTTCCGAACAGACTGAGCAGAGTGAACACCTGCCAAACATCAGCATTTTTAGCATGTTTGCATGCTGATGCATTTAAAGACCCAGTGTGCAGGATTTAGGGGGAAATACTGGCAGAATTGGAGTATGATAATACAAAAAGTATGTTTTCTTTGGTGTATAATCAGCTGGAAATAAGAATTGTTGTGTTTTTGTCACCTAAGAATGAGCTGTTTATAGCTACATAAGGAGCAGGTCCTTGTCTACAGAGATTGCCATGTTGCACAGTAGCCTAGAACGGACAAACCAAACAGGCTCTAGATAGGGCCGATAGTATTTTTGCATCTGCCACCGTAGTTGAAACCCCCTCCATGACAAGAGCATCAGAAAAACACAACTCTTCTTTTCTTACTGGTTTAAACCACCAGGACCTCTGCGGATGATCCAGTTTCCAGTAAAAACCTCCTGAACGTCTGCACCTTAAGTCATTAGAGAAAACAGGTGAGCACATATCAGCAAGTGCTGGGCTGGTGGCCTCTCTGCGACATGCCAAACTAATTTGTAACATCAAACTGCTTTAACCGATTTTAATCACCAGAGGTCTCATTTATTAACATTGCGTACGCACAAAACGAGGCCTGAAAGAGGCGCACGGCACTTCCCACGCAAAAGCTGTGATACATGAAATCAGACATTTGGTTTTTGTCGATATATACATTTTAAGAAGGGATCCTACGCATTTTTTTCATAAATGAGACCCCTGGTCCTTTTGTTTTGGAGAGGAAGAGACCTCTGCGGATAATTTGGAGAGTAAAAACCTGCTTAGGAGCACTGAAGGAATTCTAATGGAGGGAAGTTTCAGCTGGTGGCAATCTACAATTCATTAAACACTGCTGTACCTAAGTATAGCCACATGGAGCGCTAGCATGACTGTAGACCAGGGAGCAGTAACCTTGGGCTTGCGTGCCGCTATTGGCAAGTGGTAGCGTAACTAATGGTACACGACCAATAAGTATGCAAGAGTTTTTTGAAGTGTTTAAGTGCAGGGTTTCCCACACATTCTTTTTTTTTTCTTGTTGCCGACCATGATAACATCTTCTGCCACCACGCTGACTTATTAACTGTCTAGTTTTGGAGCTGTTCACCAGGGGCTCTGTTGAAATTTATATAGCCTACCATTCGGTTATGTCATTGCAAATGTACCCTGGTCACAGACAAAGCAGCAGAACTCAAGGTGCAGTGAAAGTGAAATTAAGCTGTTCATTGCGTGGGGTCTAAAAGTTTGCTTTCACTCACAGTCAGCCGCTCCTCTCATCCATTGATCTGATCTGATTAACTGTTATTGGGTTGACTTGATCAATTATCCGCCCCGCAACTCAAACTACACAAGCTGATGCTGAGGATAAAAAGAACTCAAGAAGAGTTCTGCCAGTGCTGCGTTCACTGACCCGCAAAAACCTCAGAATTTAGAGAGACTACACAGAATAATAGAAAGGAAAGGACACACACACACACAGAAGGAAGGTGTTCAGCTTCAGCATTGCACCGACTAACAAGGAAATCTAAAAAAGGCACTTCATATCACAGGGATCGACGACCCCTGCTGTAGACTCTTACACCATATTTGCACTTGATGCACAAGAGCGGCGATATGACAGTTGTTGAGCAAAGAGTCACATCACACCAGAAGCACTTTTAGCAGGTGTTTTGCTTCTTTGCTCTTTTCTTATCAGACGTAGAGCTCTGTCGCTGTCTGCTTGTGTGTGTGTGTGTGTGTGTGTGTGTGTCTGCTTGTCTTTCTTGCTCTCTGTTTAAACACAACTGACAAATATGTGGAATAAGTAAGCATGGGATGCATATTTTACACTTTAAAAGAATCAGATCATTTTTACATTATATCCTTTATATATTATATTCATTTATGGATTATCAGATTGTTTTCTATGGACCAGGTGCCAAAAATATCACTGCAGATCAGGAGTCAGTCTGAGCTTGGTGCTTTTGAGTGTCCAGTGTGAACAGCCCATTTGATTAACACATGTGCCAAAGGGAAGTGTGAAGCCGGCGACCTTTTTTAGGTCCTTACACACTAAATACATGTGCCAGTAAATGGAAGAAAAGCTGCACTGTTGAAAATGTTCTCATGTAATATGTATTTTAAGTTGTTCCTGTTAAAAGGTGCAGAATCTGGGAGGATGAAATAGAAATTTATGCAAATAACCTCTGCACCTGATTCATCACCACAGACTGATCGCTGCTGGAGACAACAGTTAATCTGAGATGTAACGTCTGGGAAAAGCAGGTGTCAAATCCACCATATTTTTTAGAAGACACACACATGGAGGAAGAGAGACTAAGCGATGAGCAAGATGCACAATAACCTGTTTGTCACCTTTTTGTATGGATGTGACTAAAATACCCATTAGTGCTTGAGTTAAGTGGATCACTTGTTTTACTGAAATACTGTAGCTAAAGGATCTGATCTTGTTAAGCTGACGTCACAAACAGCCTTCCTCTTTCAAGATGAATGCACACCTGCAATTCCACAAGACAAGGTTTAAAATAACACAGCATCGTCAAGTCTTATCAGTCTTATTATCTGGGCTATTTATGTACTCTTCATAAATAACACCCTTAACTGAAACAACATGTCTGTTCCTTTGATGGTAATTTGCGACAGGCTTGTGAAACACCTTTTGTTGAAATTGATATTCTGGTTTTTTTTTGCAGCCAACCCAGAGAGAAACAGAGAGAGACATTGTGAGAAAAAGCAACAAGAGTGTTGTCAGCTTTGTTAAAGGTGCATTCTTACTGCCAAATCAAAAGCGCTTTCACATCAGGCAAGGTGAGATGTTCACACCTGCTCGCAAAATTTACCCGAAAAGAATGATGCAGTCACTGCTTTGAAAGTTGTACTGGTGAAGGCAAGTTTACTGAACTTCTTATAAGAGTGGTGTTGCTGCCAGGTGACTTCCAAACACACATTTTCCTTGAGCTGAATGTCTTCTGTATCTTGACAGCACGATGCCTGATAATAACAACCTTTCTACAAACATGTAGTCGTGTTCCTTCTAAGCCCTCAGCAGGTGCATATCGCTGTCTTATCATGCAACGCTTGGCCCTTATGGAGATTATATTTACTCTGTGCTGCCGTAAGCACCTTTCCTGACAGATTATATGAATTAAGGCCTTATTATGGGCTCTAGCCAGGAGCTGCATGTACCGGTGATTTGTAATAAGGGCAGCGCTGAGGTGAGTCAGCAGCGACTGGCCTGATTACAGCAGCTGGACCTCAGGAGGAAAACCCTTGGCTCATCCCCGGTAAACAAAGACAGCAAGACAGAAAGGACACTCCATTAGCTACTTTGTACTACGCAAGTAGGAACAGTAAGGTAACACTTTAAGCTCAGAGGGAAGAGGGCCAAAATGTGATTAGTTATGTAATCCAAGGCACATGCAGTAAATGAAATGTTACAAGAAGAGAAAACACAGAAGAGCCAGTTTGGTTCGTAGGAATGCATCAATGTTTTATATTCTTTTGTAGCAAAATGTTTTCACACAGAAACAGTTTTTTTTTTCTTGTTTTTGTCCTAGAACCTCAGGTGAGAGTCATGACTATGTCGAGTCAAGTACACACTTAAATTGTATTCTCAGTTAGCAGAGTGGAAGAGGATGTTACATGATTTCACAGGTAGAGAAAGCAGGTTTCGGGTGACTTCAACGAAATGACAAAAAAACATTTCTCATTTATCTGTAGTGGTATCCATCCATGAAGAAGCTTTAGTTTTATCCCTCCAGGTCGTGAGATATCTATCTCTGAGACTTCTGTGTCCACACATTTCAAATCAGGTGAATGGAATTTTGTCCCTGCAGGTCAAAGTATTTAAGATTTGCCTTTAAATGTTTTCGGAAAACAGTTCTTACGTTAGCAATACTCTTAAAACCCAATAAAGTTTCTTGGAAATTATGTGTGATTAATTCAAAGTTCATTTAGTTGTTAGTTTATAAGTTGTTGATTTCCAGAGGAATTTCTTCGACAGAGCTGCTCCATTTAAACTCAAGCCAATATTCAAATATTATCATGACACTTAATTCTCCATGCTTGCCTTTAGAATAATTTCACACTTTTACATGTTGAGCTAAGCACTGGCTAAAAGACTCTCATTACACTATCAATTATCAATTGGACACTGTCTCACTTCCCTTATTATTACTATTAAATTGAAGAGGTCGTTCCAGGAACCTTCTTATGAATATCCAGTTAGATATCAGTTAATTCATCAGAAATTATGTAAAACTATGCATGTTTTGTGGACGCCTCCATCCACCATTTTAAGAGTGGGCAATATGGATAAAATCCTGTGGATAAAAATCTTATTAACCAACAATGTGTTCGTCCATCTCTTTTTCTAACTTGTCTTCCCTGACTGTTGTACTTTATGAGGTCACGCTAATAATGAATATACAGTTTGTTCTTTTGACATTTCATAAAACAGCTGGGCACTGCTCAAGCAGGAGTAAATGGTACATTTGTTGAGGACTATTTTCAGTGGTGGATGAATACACATTTTGTATTTACTGCAGGAGCACAGTGTTGGGCATAGAAACAGAATGAGTGGAAAGGATATCAAACGGTGTCACACTCATGAGTTTGAGAACTCTAATTTGGCTTACCTTTATTTAGTTTTCTGGCAATCTGTTACTTACTTTGTAATGGAACATTACTATAGCTACCTTAGACGAAGAAGTGAGTGAGTATATTTTCACATCTAAAGGCCTTTGCACATTGAGTCCATTTTGTTTCATCTGAAATTGTCGCATGTCTGAAAATAAATACAACCTCATCTTTGCACACCGAGTCTAAAACTTTAGTCTGTCTTTGAAGCTTTCTAAACAGGTTCAATTTTGTGTGTTTTTCGCATCCATCAGAAGCCTTTAGAGAGTTGTTTGACCAAGAATAAGTGAAGAGAATGTGGCAGTGGAACACATCTGTAACAAGACAGAGGTATGGGTTGTACAGTATAGCTCATGTTCTACAGATCAGATGGTAATACTCAGGTGGATGATGATGACGAGGAGGAGGAGGAGGATGTGGACTGCGCACAGACAGAGAGACAGTGTTGAGACAGAGATGCAGCTGCAGTGCACAGAGAGAGAAAGTAGTGATAGATGAATAACTCCACCGGAAAGAAGCAAGAGAGGAAATATGCCTTTTCATCTTGTCTTGTATTGCGAATTTTCACAACCCATAGAACCAAAAAACACATCAGACTCAGTGTGCAAAGTTTCTGTGCGTTATGATGTTTTTCTGGATGACGGATTAAGAAAACGTATCCGGGAAAAACTTAACGTGCAGCGGCCTTAATTCTGTGAATTAAGGATTTATTTTAACCAAACCAGAGTTGGTGAGTTTTGGAACAGTGGACAAACTTAATAGATGACTAACACTAACACTAAGATGCCATACTGTCCAGTGAGTTCACAACTTGCTGCAAGTCAGCAACAAGTCATTTAAATGAAGGTTTATATGGAAGTTAGTCCGCTACAATGGTTACCATGGTGCACATAAAAAAAGGCTGATGTTGATTTGAATGGGAATGTCTGTTCTACTCTCATCATATTTCTATTGTGTTGGATCCACTCCAATTAAACTACAGTTGCAGTGTTCATGGTAATGAAGGGACATGTCACCTGCTTGTGTGTCTGGACAACAACTCTGTGTCTCAGAGGAATGAGATATCAGCCGTCACATACAAACACAATACTTGTTAGGATACGCTCATTGATGGTTTTGATCTTTTCAAGGGATTTGTTGACAATGAGAAAAATATAGAATATTACCATCCTTTAAGGTACTTCATCACATTGATGCAAAAATTGAATAAATTCCAATACGGCTTTTAAACAGCCCTGCTCATTGATCTGCAAAATTGCCCACAAAGAGTTAATATACCCAGAGATGTTGAATAGATAGCTGCTGGCAAAATAACAACTGACAAATATTATGTCATGGTATATACTGTCATGTTACACACCCCAGCTCCACTGTATTGTCATGGAGATAAACATCCCATGAAAGGATTTCCCAAAATCTGGGCAAACTAAATCCAAGAGCATCTGCATGGCTGGATACCACTCGAGGTAAATTAGAAAATATGTATTTTTATCATTTGGGTGAACTGACCCTTTAAAAACAGCCAATATTTTACATGTAGTATCATGTAAAATCCCATTTCAGCGAGCCAACTAACAATGACCAAGTTGGTACACCACGGTTAAGCACCTTCTCACTGTTTGCTTCACATGAAAATAAAAGTACTACTGCACGATTTCCCCCCCTTTACATTCTCACCCAGTTATTGTACAAAAAAATGCCAATATACAGAACAGTACACCTAGGAATGGAAACAATAATTAAAAAAAAAAAGAAAAAAGATGACCACCCCACGTTTTGAAATGCAGCAGAGACCCACAAGATATTGAGAAAGGCATCAAAATGTGATTGAGATGTCTTGGTTGATCGTAGGCAGTAATCTGAAGAGCCACTAATTCAAAGTACCTTCCTGCAATGTACAGCTCCATATGAAAGACAGTGGAGGATAAATGATTAATTGATGAATCAGTTTAAATAATACATAAACCAAAAAGGGTTCTGTATCATGCAATCTGGTGAAACTGATTTCCAGAGAGTTTTCAGCTTTTTGGCCGTTAAAAAGTTTCTTTCTTTCTCCAATTTTCTCCACTTAACATCCTCTCATGAGCAGCGTAATGACCTTCATCAAGCTAATAAGAGTCAATTTGGACTCATTCAGCCATTTAACCTGGCTAAATGAGTAATTGTCATACTCTCTTGTTTGTGTTACCTAAAGAGAATTAGAGCCGAATAATACATCCTGCTGTGGGGATAAGCAAATGATTAAGTGAGCCTGATGGATTTCAAAAACTATTCCCATCTGGTGACAGTAATATGTGCTGATAGCATCTGAAACCATATCCTGAGGCAAACACTCTGTTTATATCAATGGCCTTAGAGCCTACAGGGACCGCTGTCACCAGCATTAGCCAATGGGGAGCATATCAAAGCATCCAGAAAGACATTTTTGCAACAGCAGGAATTCAACCTGAGCCGGAAACATACTCAATCTGATTGGCTGGAGACTAAATCATTCTTTGAAGCGTTTGCAAACAAGTAAAGAACATTGTGTTTTGAGCTGTTTGTGATCCTCTTGTGCATTTGGGGTTTTGTTGTATTTCCAGTCGCTTTCATATTTAAATAACCTCATATGATACATAACCTGAGGTAGAAATACAAGCCTGGCTTGTTGTGGTTCAGTGGTACTGATATCCAGAACACGAGACCATACTGTTTGAAAATAAGCCGTGTTTTCAGTTTGTGACTGATTGAAATTTGACTTAACTGTTGAGAGATATGAAATGGTTGTATGTGAGGGGGTAGCTTCTGTGTGTATGTGTTTATTATGACCTCATTAAAGAGCTGTGCCTCTGCCTGCTGATGAATCACCTCAAATAATAAATAGTAAAAATGATAGAAAAACCAAGATGAAAATAAAAAATGACTTTGTTTTAATTTTCTATTCGCTCCGCTGGTCCTTCTCTCTACTGTCGCAGTAGTCCCATTCATGCTGAGGGTCCAAGACATTGTGACGCATGTCCAGTTCACCACAGTCAAGGCAAATCCTCTTGGCATTCAGTTCTTTTGATAAAGACGTAGTAAATCCACTTTGAATTTCTCATCTTTCTTTTCCCTCTTTCTCTTGGAGACACTCTCATGTGCCCTGCAGATTGGAAATGATTCCCTCTGCACAATCCACGATTCGGCGTTGGTTTGAGATGAGAACAAGATTTCAAATACAGTTAAACACTGTCAGAGATTTGAGATCATGGCCAGGAATCTATCGATTTGAGTGTCTTTTATCACATAGTTACTTAGACAGTATTCACATGGAACTTCATGCAATACCCAAAGGCAGGTCCCCTGTGGATCATCCTGCCCCTGCACTCATCTTCCTTTAGTTCCTGATTTTTTTTGGCCATGGACCTCGCAGATAGACCCACTCAAACTGTGCTTTCCATCACCCACTCCGAGCTCTCAAAAGTGGGCTTCTCATCCTCTCTGTCATCATACTGCAGCAGCATGCCGTTAACAGACAGACTGCGCTTAGTCCAGATGTTACTGATCCTGCGAGGGTAGTTGCTGCGACACTGTGCAGCCCCAACATGACCCATGTCAAACGAGTGGCTCCTCTTGGGCTTACCCTCCTGGGGCATCCCTAGTAGACGCCCCAGCATGGTGGTGGACTCTGCCCTCCCGAGCAGGGGTTCTTTATCGGACGGGGGCAACATGGCCACCGTCATCATAGCACTGGAAGTGGTGGCGGGACCAGGAGCCCCATGGTGGTCCCTCGCTACTCCTCTCAGCTCCAGTGAGGTGAAAGCCCCTAAAAGGTGGTCCAGGTTTTGCCGTGCTTTGGCGCCGTGCCTGTGCCTCCTGAACTTGCTGCTGGGCAGAGTGCTGCATTCACTGCCCTGCATGCTGTAGCGGTCTCCAGTCCCCCTTCCTGTTTGGCTATCTAATGAGTTAGAAGAGGATGATGATGAGGAGAGACTGCTCTGGAGGGATCCACACTTGAACTCTACCATTTCCTCACGCATGACCACCACCGTGGATTTGACCTGTGGTGGAGCACCGTTGAACCGGTTCAAACCCCCATTGGTCTGTGAGTAGGTGTTGCTCACAGTGGGTAATTTATTAGTCTGGATGCCACTTGTCACCTTATATCGCACCATGAGGATGATGATGAACACGAGCAATGTGGCCACAATGATGCCACCAATGACCAGGATCATAGTGCCACCCAGGAAGCCACTGTGGAGAGACTGGCACTGCGGGTAGTCCTCCCTGGTGATAAACTGGACACAGCCTACAATGTTGGTGGCAGTGAGGGTGGTGGCGGTGTCATCCCAGATGGCCAAGACACACAGGTCATACTGCATCCCTGGGACAAGATTTGTGACTACAAAGGCTCTGTTATTCATGGGAATCATCCTGACAAGAAACAGAGAGAAAGAAAAATACAGCATTAAAAACACAGACCTCTTGCTGTGGGAGTTCTAGACAAGAGGAGAGAACTTTAGTGTTTAAAGCACCACTGGCTTACTGTATTATGCTGGGGCAGATCAAAGAAAGAGCCAAAATGAAGCATGCTAAGTAGCTTTTTATATGCATGGAGTAATTCAGAAAGATGACTCCATTGGTCCCAGTATATCCCATTCGATATGCATGAAGCAATAGTAATGAGATACGTATTCAATGGCCACTTTTTGAATACTGTTTTGGCTAAATGTAATTTCTTGTACATTCCATTTAACATGCATTCAGTTGTTTCAGCTCACTCTGTTATTATTCCAGTTGTTTAAATGTGACTCAATAACTAAGCCTCGCTGCTTTAGACTGAAATAAAAGTCAATGCTGCAGTGTGGGTTAATTCTCTGAGATGTATCGCCAATCAATGAAATGCTGTAGGATCCTTTGTGTTGTGTAGACAGGGAGTGATAGAAGCTTTCATCCATGAAATTCATCTATGTAGACTGCAGAGACAAACACACGCAACACGCTCGAGCTGTCACATGGCATAATAAGATATAAATACCCCAGACAATATTTCCTTGTGGTTGTATAAAAGGCTATGTATCAAAGCCTATGGATGTCAATTGGAAAAGACATTCTTTTTTTCAGATATTTAATGTGTTTATCACCATGTAATGGAACTCAGTTTAGATATTTTACCCCTAAAATCATGAAAGAATTCAATAAATGTAATTTGTCTTGACGTGCACTTTCTCACAGAGCTTGACTAGTCAAACAAGTGCCGTCATTACAATTTGAAACAGGGTTTTGAAGGATTCAATCAGAGCTGTCGCTGTTCTAGTTTTTGTACTGTCAGCAGTCTGCTAAGTGTAATTAACTCTACTGACCACATCTCATTAAATCAGAATGAAACCACTTAGATGTCAAACTTACATGGACCTTTGTAAGATATTCTCTGTATGCAGCCCATTGCCCATTGCTCAAATTCGTACATGCTGGACAAATTGGATGACTAAGATTTTAGTCCATTGCCAAAGCAAATTCCTTGTAAGTGAAAAACCTACTTGGCAATAAATCTTACAATTCTGATTCAGTGCCACTTCAGGAATAATGTGTCCAGGTGGGTATCGTGTCTGACTTGCATGCAGAATTTGTGTCCTTGTGTCACAGACCTACAGCTAGTGTTTGCTTTTTATTAGCAGTACCCATGATGTTTCCCAGACCTTAATCTTAATTTATACTTCTGTGGCTACATTCATCGCCTCCATGGTTATGCCACAGATTACACCATAGCTACAACCAGGCTGATCTCATGTGCGGTTTTGTATGCATAACTACAAAAAGTAATCCAACAAAATTTTTATGTATCTCACTTAAAGGGATAGTGCACCCAAAAATGAAAATTCACTCACTATCTACTCACCCATATGCCGAGGGAGGCTCAGGTGAAGGTGAGTCCTCACAACACTTCCAGAGATCCAAGGGGAGAGTGGGTAGCAACAAAACTCCACCTAATGGAGGCATATGGTGCCCCAGATTCAAATGTCCCAAAACACATAGTTGAAACCACAGAATATCTCCATACTGCTCGTCCATAGTGATCCAAGTGTCCTGAAGCCCCGACATAAAAAGTTGTTTGGAAAAACGTCATTTGAACTCTTTTAGCTTGAACTTTTTTTGCCTCATTGTAGCCTGCAGGTCTAACTGCATCTCTGTGCACCACGTTCACGTGTGTGCCCTTGCGCTAGACTGTTAGACATGGGCACCGCGTTCATGTGTGTTTGCTGGTCTCGCACAAGCGCACACGTGAACGCGGTGCACAGAGAGGCAGTTAGAGCTGCAGGCTACAGTGAAGCTAAAAACAGAGTTCAAATGATGTTTGAACTTTTTATGTCGGGGCTTCAGGACACTTGGATCACTATAGACGAGCAGTATGGAGATATTTTGTGGTTTCAATTATGTGTTTTTGGATGTTTGAATCTGGGGTGCCGTAAGCCTCCATTAGGTGGAGTTTTGTTGCTACCCCCTCTCCCCTGGGATCTCCGCAAGTGTTGTGAGGACTCTAAAACTTCACCTGAGCCTCCATCGGCATGTGGCAGAGTGGATAATGGGTTAATTTTCATTTTTGGGTGCACTATCCCTTTAATCCTGAGCCAGTAATTCATGTCTAACTCACACATTTGGAAGGCTGTGATGACATGACCAATGCGGTGATGGGAGTAAGGAAGGAATTAGTTGGTGTAAAGAGGCAGGTTTGAGTGATGGATGAGACTTTTCCACAGGGAACCTGTGTTTGGAACCAACCTGCTGTTTCCCACTGTTAAGCAGACACATAGCGCCCACCCTCCAGCTTAACACTGTTAGGCAACAATTACTGCAACAGTGCTGACAGAACCATGGCCAGACAATTTATACTCTCTGACTTTCACATAGGGCTCATTTAAATTCTGCTCATTTAACTTGATGAAATGTAGAACATGATTGCTCAGACAAATCTATAATCAACAACCAAAGTTAAGTCTACCTTCAGTCATTAGAGGGCCATCTCAAGTCACAACTATGACATATCAACAGAACTACCCACCTGCCCCCCGCTGCATATCTGCTGTAGATGCATTGCCACTGCTTTATTACTGCACTGTGCTAAAACCACAGATGAACGATTAGTCTACAACAATGTGCTGTGTCGATTAGTGGCTTTGATAGTCGAATAGACGACTATTCTAAATTCTGTATATCAGAGATTCTCAACATGGGATACTTGTACCCCATGGGTTACTCATGCAATTGCCAAGCAGAGAAGTTCATATAAGAAGCTAAATTAATGCTTGATGGGTTCAGGGTATGTCATGGCATGTGGTAGTAGTAGGATTGCAAGCTTGACCAAACTCCACTTTTATGTAATTAATAGTGTCAAAATAAATTGGACATGGTGGATGGTATCAGTAAAGGGGGATTTGAGCTTATCTGATTAAGGCACATCTGACAAGGCAACCAAGTGGCTGAGAACCACTGCTATATATAATCCACTTAGGCTGTAAAACATTAAGTAACAATGTCTGTCACATACTGTAACTGTGGGTTAGGTATCTATAAATAGATTCTTCAATTATCAGTCGATTGTTGGCTTGCTGTTCTCCTAGAGTACATGCATCCATATCTTTGAACCCTCTGATTCGCCTCCACCACAGAGCCCAGACCCCAGTGGGGCCGCATTCCATTATTCATCCCTAATTGCCTTTTTCCATAACTAGGAAGAAGCTGCGTTGGCTCACATGTTGAGAGAACTCATGCAATATTTCTCCTCCCCCACGTGGCTCTGATTGATTTTTAATCATGCCATCGCTTGAGTGTGGGCAGTGCCCTGGGAAACTGTGTCAGCCAACTAGAGGAGCGCAGTAGGAGTGCATGTACGAGCAATGAAGTCATACCAATATTAATTCAAAAACAGTAGTTGGCCTCTCTGTGCACGTTATCTTTTCCCTCCAGCTCCTAATTTGTCTTCTGACATGCAAAAGGACTGCACAGCCGTTATTGTATAAGAGCATATATATCTATTGCTTTAGGGTCTGCTGCATACTGAGTGCACTCATTATGAAGTTGAAAATATTTTAAAGCATCAAATTTGTAGTAATGATTCTTGACTAACACCAACATTAGGAATGCCATTAAAATAATCACTTTTCAGGGAAATAATGTAGGTGCTGGAAGTCAGTGAACAACGGGGGGAAAAGTGCATTTCATAAAACACACATCAGTGTTATATTTGCAATTTTGTAGGCAGTAGATAAAATTTGTGAAAAGCATTAGCAAGAAATGCAGATGAGTCATCTGACGTTTTCATCACCAGGAAAAAAAAACAGGTACTGAAAATTCATATTGTTCTCCTTTTTTTCTGGCATGACAATCTGGCACAGCAAGCTGCGTGCAAGCAAGGAAATCAGATAAACACCTTATTACTGAATTCACAGGGATGGTGAGTTGCATCCACAGTGTTTGAACAAAGTAATATCTCTCTTCAATATTGTGCACAGTTCTAATCTCATATTCTCAGCTAATAACCAGACTTTTTCCCTTCTCTTATTCTGTCAATTATCTTTGATTAAACATCTTGCAGGAATGTGCAGTACAGGTGAATTGTGTAGGACTTTGGCATAGTATAAGTTATTGTGCTGTTGTGTTGTTGCTAAAGGGATTCAGCATCAATTGTCAGTGTTGAAGGAAGCATGAAGCTGACACAAAATTGCTGTAACTACTACTCACAACGGGCTACTTTAACAATTTTACACTATTCTGATGCCGTAAATACCATCTTTAGCATAGGGTACTCATTCTTTAAGTGCACTGAGCCTAAGGGGATACTGAACTCAAAAACAGTGTGATATGTTTTTGGCAAATATGGGAAAATATCTAAAAAGCTGTCTGATAAAGTCAAAACAAGGCTCATAAGAAATGGATCTATTTGTTCTTGCAGCACAGCATATTTGGCATTTTTTAACATCTTCCTCAAATTGATTTCATGTTAAACGGCGCGGCTGTTTTCTGTATTTCCAGCTCAATTATCTTGGTTGAATGTCACTACTTTTACTGTCTCATTTGACTTTGGAAATTGATTTCACAGAGCCCAGAAGATCTTCAGCTGCAGTCTCCAAGCTTACACTTTATGGACTTGAGCAGCTTAGGAGGGATACATTAAAATGAGGGTCTATAATCCTTTTTCTTCTTGGATTTCTAATTAATGGTTCAGGGCAAGGATTTCACTTTGGGCTCCACTGTCCTTAAAAATGTACAAACGCTGTTCATTATTTTTGGTGAAAGCAATTGTCAATTTAAAGGAAAAAATAAATAAAAATCTCAGGGATTAAGAAAAATGAATGTTGATCTCTGAGTAACCCTTCAAAGAAATTGACTGTCTCAAGCACTTACGCAGTAAACATTAGCAACTGACTGAAGAAGCTGAGCAGTGAGTGTGCTGAAGTTCAATATTATACCTCGGGCTTAATTTACCACTTTGACCAGAAAGGTCTCAGCTCTGTTTACCTACAAAAAGTAATGCACCGCAATTCGTATATAAACCCCATAATCATTAACCAGTAATTTGTGTATATCCCACATAATCAGGGAGCCTGCGATCATATTACCAATGCACTGACAGGAGTAAAGAAGCAAGTATAAAGACTGAAAGTCTGTGTAAGAAGGTAAGTAGAGTTGGTGGATTGGTCAAACAACACAGGACTTTACCCCAGAAGATCAGTGTCTCGTGAAACCATGTGAACATTGAGTTTGTAACTTTACTTGCCTACATCTAAAGACCCCCTAAATATATTTCTTCCTCTAAACTTAACCTATGTAACTTAATGTTTAGTACATAATTTTATGTTAAGTACGTAACTTTAGGTTAAGTATGTGATCTCATTTGTGGGGCACTGATTGATAGATATCATACAAACCCTTGTATATTCATTTTCGTATGATATCATATGGACAACTGTATGAGGATATATAATAAAATATCATTAATTATTCTTACCTATAAATGAGAACTTCATCCTCTGAACAATTGTACTGAAGCTGATACATTTTGACCTTTGGAGTTGATTTGCTTACAGTCCACTTGACCAGAGCAGAAACGGCAGTCACTTCTGACACAGACACCACCTTCTCTGGTAAAGGTTTAGGCTCCCCTTTGCTGATCTTAGTAGAGCTAGTTATGTCCGAAAGCCCTGACTTGGACTGTGTGGTACGGTTTGTACCATTATTCAGATGGGGGAGTTGAATGATTGACAGCTCAATGGAGGCTGTAGATTCTCCAGCAGCATTGGCAGCAATGCAAGTAAAGGTCCCGTAATCCTTGGATGTGGTGATTGTAATGTCCAGGGTGCCATTTTCGTAGACCGTTGCTCGGGAGGAGTTGCTGATCAAGCGGTCATCAGGAGCAACCCAATGCACAGTTGGCATTGGATCACCGACTGCTTTGCAGCGCAGGCTAGCCGTTTGGCCTTCCAGCACAAGCAACTTGTGTGTATGTTGTGTGATCAGAGGGGGCTCACAAACAAACTCCTCTTCACGAACAGACCAAAAGTAGCGCCCCTTTAGACTAGTTGGAGAAGCGCAGGTTTCCATGTCATCCTCACGCTCCAGTCTTCGAAGCCAAAGCACTTCACAGTTGCAGTGCAATGGGTTTCCGCCAAAGCTTAGAGAGAGAGGAGGTGCATAAGGAGTGCTCATTACTACATTGCTCTGAGAGCGCGCAAAGATGGGGTCTGGAGGGAGCTTTTGGAGACGGTTGGAGGTGAGGTCCAAGCGGGCCAGTTTATCCAGATCTGTAAAAGTCCCCTCTGCAATGAAGGCGATGAGGTTATGATCCAGACTCATCTGATGGAGGTTGACCATCTTGCGGATGGCTTCCCAAGGCACACTGCGCAAGTTGTTATATGACAAATCCAGATCCTCCAGTGTCAATAACAAGTCATCAAAGGCTGCGCTGGAGATCCGACTTAGCTGATTGTTGTTGAGGATCAGGTGCTGCAGGTTGACCAGCCCTCGGAGGTCATCCGGTCCCAGCTCAGTCAACCGGTTACTGTCGAGGTGCAGCGATCTGAGGGTTTCCAGGTCGATGAAAGAGAAAGACTGGATGGCGCTGATGGTGTTGCGAGACAAGGTGAGATCAACCAGACCTGTCATATTGGCAAAGTCCTGAGTGGTGACCTTGAGGATGAAGTTGCCGCCCAGCCGTAGCTCCACAGTTCGCCGGTCGATGTCCGGTGGGACGAAGAGCAGACCTTTGGAGGGGCACAGAGTCCCCAGAGACTCAGAGAGATTCTGGCAGACACAGTATTTGGGACATGCATGGACCATCGTAACTGCGGTTCCCAGAAGCAGGAGACTGATGACCACTTTGTCCATGTTAGTTCATACAAAGGGGACCTGCAAAAACAAAAGAAAAGCAAGATCAGTTTGAATTCAACCTTGAGATCAGCTTACATATTTTTGGTTGCCTATGTCAGGCAACATTTGGTTGAACATAGCTGCATGATGATTTTAATGTTTGATGCATAAGTCTAATCATTACAGCTTTAACATTTCAAACATTAAAGTCTTCACACCCAGAAAATTCTTCACTTAATCATCCCTCTTCCACAAAACTGAAACACTGCTGCAGTTTTGTGTGCTTGTGTAATTGCCCCCATTAACACAGGTCAGATACATCTCACCATGGACCTTGGACCACGGAGGCAAAAATTGCTCAGTTGATGAGCTGGTCTGATTATCATCCTTGAGGATTTTTTCATATTAATATTCTCCATTATAGCATTCATATGCATGTACTTTGCAATGCAAAGAAGGTGTGAGAAATCACATGAGGATTCTCTGAATGAAGCCTGGGATTAAACAGCTAAGAAGCTATTTTTAATGACGCACATACTTATAAGCTGTCATTACCGATATGCTGCTATGCATGCAGTGGAAAGTAGATCAAGTGGAGCACATGCATGTGTATGCTTTTAGCAACGGATGAATTATTAATGGAATGCTGCATCACCTTGCCAGTTTAAATGTGAAAATGGTGTAAGATTAAAGTTCTGGTTTGCATGTTTACTGGCAGTGTCTTCCTCTTTGGGTATCTCTGTGTATGTCATTTTCCTTTAGGTCCCCTTTCTCATTATAGCTGCACCCTTTTGACAACAGATAGTGCCGTTTGGAAAAAAAATTCTACATTCTGCAGGTGTCAGACTTGGCTGACGAAATCAGCATGCCTCCATGAACGTCTTAACAGAACTTTACACCTGGCTGACTCCTCCAAATGGCTTTAATTCCCCCAGACATTTGTATCATTAATTCCTAATACACTCAAAACCTAAAAATCAATTTCAATCTTTTTTCTTTTACACTAGCAACTTTTATTATTGGGAAAACTCTGCCTTATAGCCTGTGTGGTTCACACTAGAGCCATGTGGAGGAACTGTTGTAATGTTTTCATGTTAACCACATTCTTGTGCCATCATTCATCATTAGTCATAAGTGTATGAGATACTGGTCGCAGGACTCCTTATCTTCAACCACCTTGTAACACCCCTTCATGTGTAGACTCTATTTTTCAACAACTCATAATTACAAGAGGAAGTATGTATAAATAACCTCTTTCCCTCTCGATACCAATTTGCAATTATATCATGAAGTGCCACTGCATCTGGACTGTGTGTTACACAGAGATAATTGGAATGAAATTGCAGGCAGGAAAAAAAAAGAAAGTGAGTCATGGAGACTGTGCAATAATCATTAAAACTGAGGAAATTAATAAATCACAGCCGAGGAATTGACATTTTCACAAATAGTATGTTCATAAAATGAGCCATATTTACGATTGGACCAAATGGTAAAGACATTGGACAGTACTGTGCCACTATTTAGTGTTGTAATACCACAAACATGCTTTACAGTTATCACAATTACAAAGGGGCTCAGCCTAATACAAAACTTAAAAGGAGGCTATCTCAAAAGGAAAAAAAAGAACATTTGACAAATAAACAGCCGGGGCACACCAAGCTGATGGTCAGCCGTCGGTCAATGTCTGGCCATCGGTAAACATCTGTCGCTGTAGTTTTTGCTGCATATTACACACCATTAGCAGTAATCGGCCCTTGCCAGCTTTTTTTTTTTTTTTTTGCCAATTCAGCATGTTGAACATTGTGCCATCGTTGGCTAGCGCACAGTAAATATCCTTTAGTATTTCAACACTGGATTGTGTTATTAATGTGCTAACAGGCTAACTAGCATCTTGAATCCGTCCTGTCCTCATGCTGGGTTCCCTTTTTGAATGATGAACACAGACTACTGCCACCTGCTGGTATGTAGAGTTATTTCCTTTAATGCAGGTGAAGAACGAAAATGTTAGTTGGGTGTTGACTGTAGTCTTTGCTATGTTTTAAGCGCAATTTTTTGGCTGAGACACAGGTGACTTCAGGTGATGCAACAGTCAGACTTCATGCAATCAAGCATACTTTGTGACAGTACATTTACCCAAGGAGTTATTTAGCTTGGAGTTTAACTAATAAAACCTCCACCTTTAAAGCAACATTTTCAACAGCAGTCACTGTGGCTTTGCTGTAAAGTTGCAGTCAGTACCAAAAATTTACATTGTCCGAGAACACATTTTGGGGATGCTGTCACTGTAAATCTCTTCTCTTTGGTAATTACTACTAAAACAAATAACAACAACAAACACAGCATGTACTTATTTATTAGCAAAAAGTTAAATTTTGACTGAGGTGAAACAGGATAAATATAAATTGCCGTTTTACATTCATACCACAAATAGACCCTTTGTCTCAGCTGTCATGTTTCTGAGCAGCCCATTATATTAGGGTTCAATCAGCACTGCAGAGAACTGCGTGAAACTCTGTGAAAAAGGTGTTTATTTTAGCCAAATAATTGCAGACTTGATGCATACTGTTCTGACCCTCTCAGCACTCTGAAGCTAATCCCCACAAGGCCTCACGGTGAGAGCTGTCAGTGATGACAGACACTTTCTCTCATGGACTCATTTTAATGGACAGCATCTAGAAAAAGCAACTGAAAAGCCCCGCAAAGCCACAGAGGCTGCCTTTTTTATTTTCTTTTGATCTTCCTTCCCCCTGAAAATGGACAATTGTGGTGGGTAAGCATTTTTTTTAAAATATACAAATTTGCAGAAACGCACATAGTGCTGGCTGGAAGCAGTTGAAAAGTTCAGTATAATTCCAGTCTCGCAACAGTTTCCCATTAGAGCATACGTGTGTGATATGTTGTGGGGGTATGGTTGCTGGGCAGAGGAAGCCAGGCTGGGGAGAGGCAGAGGTGACCTTTAGGGGATAGAGGAGGTTCAGTCACAAAGAGATGGGAACCATGGATGATGTTTAAGGTCTGCATTCATTTACTCATGGCCTTTACCAGGCCTGCTACACTATCTGCAATTTAATGTAGGGGACAAAGATGCTGCTGAAATACCAACAAGCACACATTCTATACAGTTACACTGTGCATTAGCGGCGATGGCATATAGAAATAAGATTCCCATTATTAACCCATTTGAATGGTTTTGACATTCAGGCTTCTTTAGTCAGTACTGTGCCTGCCTCCATCTCCTCCGTGGAAAATATAGTAAGGTCCCCTGACTTTTCACGTAACATGTGGCATTTAATGCATAGCATAGTTATTTGTAAAATGTTGTGTTTATTGAATATCACAAGATTTAGCTTCACAGCTCACTTATTGTGTTATCAGTGCATCCTAGCAGTTGGTCCTTCTTAAAGCTCCTCCACTAATGAACAGTAGGTGTCTGACTATAGCTTAGCAACCGTGAAGTAGGCACAGCAGGGTTCTTAAGCTTTAGATTTCTCCACATGTTGCATAGTGTGTAAAGGGTGATACCCTGCATCTAAAGGGTTTTTTAATCACCTTTGTATATCCAAAAAGAATAAACATAGAGTAAATTAAAAAAAAGAGTAAAGAGGAATGGATTAAAATGCATAAGGGAAAAGAAAGGACTGATGCACACTGATCAGTTTATAGCTTTTAATAGTGTAAACTGGCTGAATGTTTCAACAGCAGTCATTAGAGTCAGTAAAAGCAAAGACTAACAGGTGACACATATATGGTCAACCTACAACAGGTGAGTAATTCTCACTGGATAATTGAACAGGATTTCAAATCTACTGGATGGTGAATCCACAAGTGTCATTGTCCATGCCATGTTTGCACACTCAAAGGCTGTAAATTGATCAGCTTGCTCCTGTCCCTTATAAAGTCTCTATGGCCACATCAGGTGCTTCTCAGCTCAAGAACATACTGATGGAACCCTATTTCAACTTAACTGTTCTAGTGAAAGCTACAATCAATTAACAATACAATTAGCATGTTTGTCTGACTGGCTTTGCACTTGTAGTGTTTTCTGCTCTGTCACTGCAGAATTATGAGTGCTGCTGCGAAAATTTCACACGATCATTAATATCATCAGCTTTCATGTTTCAACAAGGGCAAGGCTTACCCCCTCCACACACACATGGAGAGGAGCAGAGAAAAGACAGGTAAAGTGAAGACAACGTTGCTTGCACCAGTTACAAACAGGCAAACAGGTAGTGAATGACATGCCAAAATACTGACAGAGTTTATAGCCCTTTTTAGATAGGAATTGTGCAAATTTGCAGAAAAGCCCAATCGGTCTTTTTTCAGCATTGGCAGTATAAAAACAAAATTGGGGAGTGCGGCAAAATGCCGCCTACCTACTTTTGTTTATACAGAATGCGCCTTTTTCGGGGCAATGAGGGGCGTGAGCAAGTAACAAAACGTGTAGCTCAGCGTGTGACGTAAACAGTGACGTGGGAGGGAAGCCGCGGCTGGTCAGTCCTTCGGCGATTCTCTTGTAAGTCGGCCCGTTCTTCACCGTCCCCGTCATCTGATGGTTAATTGGCTCTTCGTTTGTGAGGGCAAGGAGGGCGCACAATTCTTTGTCTCCCCAGCTGCTCATCTTTATAGTGTCTGTCAGGTTTGCGTTTCCCTCTTGCTACTAGCTACTCGCTAATGTCATGCATTTCCTGTTTATCCACCGCCAGTGGCTCGCACGTGCTCCTCTCACAAGTCATCAACAGCCCCTCCCGTTGCGGAAGGCCGCCTTGCTGTGTCTATGGGCCCTAGGCATTTCTGGGGTATTTTTTACTGCCTTTACTCTTAAGCTCATATCACAGTCATTATAAAGGCTACATACACATGCTATATCTTTTTATCTTTTTTTTCCAGGACAATCTGGGCTAACCAGATTTGCCATCATTTCATGTCCTACTATGTGCCTATATTTTATATTAATTTTTATATCAATGAAAGAAACAAATCCGTGTTACTAAATTCTTACATTTGTATATGTATCTCACCATAGCAAGTTGGAAGTTGAC